CCTGTGGTCCCAGCTACTTGGGAGGTGGAGGCAGGAGACTCGCTTGAGCCCAGGAGTTGGAGGTTGCTGTGAGCTATGATGCCACGCTACCCAGGGGGATAGCTTGAGGCTCTGTCTCGAAAAAAAAAAAAAGAAGATGAAACCAGATCTGTGCCTACAGCTCAAGCGGCTAGGGTGCCAGCCATATACACTGGAACTGTTGGGTTTGAGTCCAGCCCAAGCTGCCAAACGACAAGGACAACTGCACCATAAAAATGGTCAGGCATTGAGACAGACGTCTGTGGTCCCAGCTACTTGGGAGGCTGAGGCAAAAGAATCGCTTAAGTCCAAGAGTATAAGGTTGCTGTGAGCTATGATGCCATGGCACTTTACCCAGGGTGGCAGCTTGAGACTCTGTCTCAAAAAACAACAAAAAAAAAGATGAAACCTAAGTTTTGGAAGGGAGGGTATGAGAAGAATACAACTTTCAGTCTGGGCACAGTGGTTTATGCCTGTAACCCTAACACTCTGGGAGGCTGAGGCGGGTGGGTTGCTTGAACTCACAAGTTTAAGACCAGCCTGAATAAAGAGCAACAGACCACATCTCTAAAAAATTAGCCAAGCATTGTGGCGAGCATCTATAGTCCCAGCTACTTGGGAGGTTGAGGCAAGAGAACTGCTTGAGCCTTAGAGTTTGAGGTTGCTGTGAGCTATGACTCCATGGTAGTCTACTGAGGGTGACAAACTGAGACAGTCTTTAAAAAATACAGGCTGGTGGGTTCTAATCCAGCCTGGGCCCGCCAAACAACAATGACAACTATAACCAAAAAATAGCTGGGCCTTGTGGCAGATGTTACTTGAGAGGCTGAGGCAAGAGGATCACTTAAACCCAAGAGTCTGAGCTTGCTGTGAGCAGTGATGCTAGGGCACTCTATGCAGGGTAACAGCTTGAGACTCTGTCTCAAAAAAAAAAAAAATACAACTTTCAGCTTTAAGTTTTATATATGAAGACTTCAACATTCCGCTGTATGTTACCCAAAAGGTCCATGATGGGAATCTTCAGGTTATAATTTGTTTTCTCATCATAATACTGTTTTTTGCATCTGATATCATCCTCAGGGACCTAGTCTGCTTCCTTTGACTCTGTCCTCTTAGATCTTCAAATCTCCTGGGTTACCTGCTCTTTGTCAGGGTGGATGCTGTAGGTATCATGACTGATTTTTCCTCTTCAGCATCTGTTAGAATGCAGTAGGTAGGTGAGGAGCGTGATTCAAGAAATTGAGTCTAGGGTGGCGCCTATGGCTCAGTGAGTAGGGCACCGACCCCATATACTGAGGGTGGCGGGTTCAAGCCCGTCCCGGCCAAACCGCAACAAAAAAATAGCCTGGCATTGTGGCGGGCACCTGTAGTCTCAGCTACTCAGGAGGCTGAGG